GTTTGTTTGTTTGTTTGTTTGTTTGTTTGTTTGTTTGTTTGTTTGTTGTTTTGTTTGTTTGTTGTTTGTTGTTTGTTGTTTGCTGTTTGTTGTTTGTTGCTTGTTGTTTGCTGTTTGCTGTTTGTTGTTGTTGATGTTGTTGTTGTTGTTTGTTTGTTTGTTTGTTTGTTTGTTTGTCGTTGCTTGTTTGTTGTTGTTTGTTGTTTGTTGTTTGCTGTTTGCTGTTTGTTGTTTGTTGTTGTTGTTGTTGTTGTTTGTTGTTTGTTGTTTGTTGTTTGTTGTTTGTTGTTGTTTGTTGTTTGTTGTTTGTTGTTTGTAGTTTCTAGTTTGTTGTTTGTTGTTTGTAGTTTGCTGCTTGTTGGTTGTTGTTTGTTGTTTGCTGCTTGTTGGTTGTTGTTTGCTGTGTGTTGTCTGTTGTTTGTTGTTTGTTGTTTCTTATTTGTTGTTTGCTGTTTGCTGTTTGCTGTTTGCTGTTTGTTGTTTGTTGTTTGTTGTTTGCTGTTTGTTGTTTGTTGTTTGTTGTTGTTGTTGTTATGTTTTTCTTCAACGCGTCCATGTGGCCTTCCTCATGGCCATTGCCGGCTGGCCAGCAGTGTAAGGACTGCAGCAGCGAGGAGCATCGGGTTTGTGGACCTGAGATGCAGATCCGTGAGTGGCCAGAGCCCCGATATACTTCGGACCTCGGGTGGACTGAGCAGGACGCTCCGATGTCGAGGATGTCGGATGGCGATGTGTGCGGGCAGGATGTCGTTGTTGTTTTGGGGGGATCAATGACAAGTTAGGGGGGTTCACAAGATGGTGAACTGAATGAATCAAATAAAGCGACAATTAGTGCCCAAATGCATGAAGCTCTTCAACTGAATGAATTTGTTTGACGATGTTAAGGAGTTTGACAGGGCTTTCAACCGTTCAACACGTTGTCCACATGTTTAAAGCGCACAATTTGTCTACTTCTCTCTATCAACGTGGAGTCACCGGTCACCAAAGGAGGTACACCGGCAACTCCTTTTGGAGGAAGCGCTCCATAAACCTGCAGCACGAGGGGGGGGGGGACTCACGAGAGTGGATGCGACAGGGGACACAAACCATCCACCCGGACATGGATTTCCCGTTCTGTGCACCGGGCTGCATGTATAGCTCGCAACGAAAAGGATTTCGCATAGCTCCAAGTTGGCCTTAAACTGAGGTCCTTGGCCAAGTAGGTGATGGATTCCCTGATATGTTTGAACAAATCATCCGAAGTCTCGGTGCGGCATCCACCTAAACATATATACCTATAGAGCCCTTTGACATAGAAATCTTTGATACGAAAAATAAGTAGTACGAATGCACAAAAACTAGCACGTGTTCCCCAAAAACAGTCGAGCCCAAAAAACTAGTACGAACAGGGGTGAGGTTGGCAGCACAGACAGCGACAACGGATGCACCTCGACGTCATCTTTTTCCACTGCGTCCGGGCCTAAGGTCCCTAGGGTGGCGGGTGGAGGTAAGAAGCGTGAAATTCACTGGCCCACTCTCTTCGATAAAGGCCAAGGGATCGCAGAATTGTATTCAAAGGAGCAGTCAAAACACTTGTCCTTCTACTGATACGCGATACTCTTCCTATGAAATCCTCATCGGTCCACGTCGCGTGGACCGCCGGATTCTCGATGAATTGGCAATCACGATTGCTCTCCAACATGTGTTGGACGTCGAGCCTTGGGCTAGTCGATTTGATGGCATTGGCTTGATTCAGGAAGCTCTGACATATCAGGAGCACACTTTTGAGTCTTGAGTGTTGCTGTTTGCTATGTTCGAGCTTGTTGGCTGCCAAGTAACACCAAATGGCAAAACATGTGCAGTTTAGGGCGGAGATTAAAGCCTCGCCATCCTTGTCTGGAACATAGGCTGGCCAAAGTCGCGTAGCCATCCTTGGGGGGGGCTAACTGAGCAAAGAAGTGTGAGGAGCCAGGAGCCCGGGTCGGGTCCAAACAAAACCATGCACAACCTATAGATCTGTTTTGGTGGCGATGTCAAGTCTATAGAAACCGGTGGCTGTTCAACCTTAAGTAAGAAAACATCATGCATGTGGGGCTAAGCCACTGTGAAAGCCCAGCCATCCAAGACTATGTTTTCCGCATCACGCCTGCTAAGCCATAGCCCGTTCCCGTAAGCACATCTCCAAAATCGGTTCACCGCCGCACAACTCCACTGCAGCACCTCCACTTGATCTTTGTATTGGTCTTCCTGGGCATGCGGAAGCATCCTGATTGAGAAAACTCTACTACAGCGTGCCCAGGTCAACAACCCCAAAACACCAAAAGTCACACTAGCTTCAATCCTTGTGTCTACCAAGGCCAAATCGATTTGAAGAAGCTCTTCATCCAACCAAGCGCCAACAACTGCAGCGTCTTGGCCTTTACCAAGGCCCTGTGGTGAGTGGCGTAGCCTTTGTACCCGGGAAAATGGGAAGCATTGAAGCTATGACTGCAAGACCCCGGGATAGATTTTGAGTTGGCCAAAACCGAAAAGTGCTAAATTGTCAACAGCAAACGAGCCAACAGGCAACTTGAAGGTCTTGTAGCTGAACTCATAGATGCTTGTGCGTTTCCCCCGGGCATTACAATATGCCATGAAGCGTGAGTAAGCATTCTGAAATTTGCAGTCCGTGTTCCCGTTGCCAAACCAGCCCAGATTCATCAGAAGAATGATAGCGCTTGCGCAGAAGTTCTTGCCCACCCCATCAATTGCGTAGGTGTGAGCTGGATCAATCCGTACATATTTGGGGGTTCCAGATAGACATTTGAGATCACGTAGCGGAGAACGTACAGCTTTGAAGGGGTTTGGATTCATATCCAATGGGCCCAGACGCTTCACGTCAACCTTGACATTCCACCAGTCCTGTAGGATGTTGATGTTACGGGTCAAACAAAGTACTTGCAAACACATAGCGGCGGAGTACAACATATAAGAAGCACTTCATCTATGCCACTAAAAACAGTGGGAGCCAGGAACACAAGTGAAGGGTCCTTAAGCTGGCAACGATGGCATTTCTGTTTGCAGTTGTATCCACAGTTCAAGCCCATGCTGGACCTCAAAAACGGCCAATCACCTTTAAGGCTCACCACTTCGAACCGGTACCTGTAGGTCTTCTGCTTCCAAAGTACCTGAGAGCTGGCCATACGCGTCAAAAGGGGGGCTCCAGCAATTTTTGTTTCTGAGAAGCAACGGGGGTGGTCCCAAATGATTTGCGCCAGCCAAAAACAAATACAGATCAAAATAATTAGTTGACATGTTCAAGACGGGGAACGGTGATTCCTGTTTCGCTCATGCTGTTGAGGTCGGCAACCCACGCTGTCAGCAAGTCGTACAAGGTGGATTGGGTGTAGGGGGACGGGATGATGGTGTAAAGCAACCGGGTGCATATGCTAGGCCTTGGCTTTTGCTTCTGTGGGAATGGATGGATGGGTATAGGATTCTTGCAAGGGGACCCAAAGACATCCAAAGACAAACAAACAAGTTGTAACATTTTGGCATACTTGCTCAACAAAAGAGTGCTTTGGCAAAGCTGAAAGACCCTGCCATGTTCGTTTTCCCAGGCCGAAGTGGAAGCACACATTGGGCACTCAAAACCATCACTGGTCGCTTCATGCGACCTCTCCCCTCGTCACCGTGTAAGCTAATCGGAATGCTGTGGTCCCACCTCTCTCTAGGTGGCATCTCAAAGTCTGGATGCGTAGCTTCAAACTTTTCCCAAAAGTCAACAAGGTCCCTGGAAAACTCATCAGCGCTATCCATGGTTTTGCCCTGCATGAAGAAGTGGCCACCCCCATTAAAGCTCACCTCTGCCCAGCTCCACAAGTGAAGGACCGGGTGCTGGACTGGCACTGGGGTAGGTCTTTTCCTTGAAACTCTACGCTTCGTGGGGACATAGGTGATGTCAACCGGAAGAATCTTTTTGAACGCTTTGACAGTTCTGTGAAGATTCCGGCATATGTGCGAGTCCGACTTGCTTTTGCCACACTTGGCCATCTTGGAGAGAAACAAGTCGGCCAATCCTCCGCCAACAAAGTATGCATGCGCATTCAAAATGTCCAAGTGTAAAACAACGAAGCTGTGGCAAAACAGGGTTTACAACACGCAAACCATCAACATAAACTCAAGACAAGGCACCATGTTTCTTGAGCCGGTTGTTGGCCACTGTAGCGAGCCGGACAATCCGAGCTGCTGACTCTGCCTCAGCCCAGCGAAAAGGTCAGTATACCGTATGAATTTAAGCGATCCCTGCACGACTATACCAAGGCCCCAAACCCAGTGATTTCTCTCAGACGAGGGGCCCCCTGCTCGAATCCGGTCAAAAGTTCGTCCGCCAGATCAGCATCATCGTCTTCATAAAATCCTGACGATGCGATGTTGAGAGGTTGGAACTGAAACGGGCTTGGGTGAAGTTGGGACAAACGTTGTTGGAACCTGCCTCCATCAACTCGCGAGGTAAACAGGCCACCACGTGTTTGGCCTGCGAAGGGAGTCAAAGGTATTGAAACTAACTCGAACCTTTTTGTGTTCTGCCACCAAAAGAGGAGGCCATGGACCCATGGATTCACCTTTTGTTCTTTGGCGAAACCTCACTGACTCCAGATGAAACTGGGTACATTCACCCCACCTGCGTATTAGCTGTTGCTGTTTTGCACAGTCTGCGGCCTGGAATGTGTTGCTACAAAAAAGAAGTATCGTATATGCATGTTTTTTTAACCATGCTGTTGCAGGCTGTGTGGCAACAAAACCCCATGAGACTCGATAGATCAATGGTATCACTGATCTCATCTCCAAAAAGCACCAACCCTTAAAGAGCTGGATTTCTAGGCCTCATCACCGGCCGGCTTAGAAGACTTAGCCTTAGCCTTTGCCTTTCCGGCCTTTGCAACCTTAGCTTTTGATTTTCTTTTAGGCTCTTTGGCCTTGGCCTTGGCATCCTTGGCCTTTGTGGTTCTTTTAGTACCGGCCCCGCCCCCACCACTGGTCTTGGCGCCCTTGATGTTCCTGCCGGCGAGGCGGATGACGTGCAGAATGGAAGCTGGGCAAACAGCGGCAAACACAGAATGTTCGAGCCAGGGGCCTAGCTCGAACCACAAGGTTGTTCAGCGCAACATCGGTTCTGGTGCAAGAAGCACAGAGAAGTAGCATCTCCTTTTGCTGCTCAGGCCTCACGGTTATTCTTTTCACTTATATTTGGTAACGTTTGCTATGCCATGCATGCATGGTATACATCTCAAAGTGCCTGGCAGCTCGCGAAACTGCAACATCAGCTTGAAGTGCTTCAAGCTTTTTATAGAGAGTCTTCATGGAATTCGTGTGCGTGGAGATCTCGTCAGCGTACCTCGTGATGTGCAGTCATGACCGCGCACTCTGAGGCAAGCTTTGCTGCATTCTCAGGAGAGGGCTCTTTGGCTTGGTTGCTGGAAGACTTCGAAAGTTTGTCCTCGCAAAGGGTGAGCGCTTGGGAAGGGTTCACTTTTGCCAATCCCAACAGCAAGCGAAACAATGGAATCTAAAGGGTAGAATCCAGTCCAGCACGGCTGCCACTGCATCGATCTTTCGTCCACAAACGGACAGGAATTGTGGTAGCACAGCCATGGCCGAACTGTTCTCTTGCACGGATGGAAAGACCAACCTGGGCACCAAACATGCAGAGAAGCCTAGGTTCTAGCGTATGGGACCTGTAACGAGCATACTGAGTTGAATCTAAGTGGCTTGAAAGACCCAGAGTTAGCCAGGGTAGCATCGGTGGTTCCAGTCTGAGCATGGTTTCCATGTTGGAGTAAGTCTTCCATGGAGGAATCCATAGTTGGCACGTCCGTCTCAAACACGGAGCCGGTAGTGTCCTAAGAATTCTGCGCTATATCTTATAGTATACAAACTGAAAGCTTTAACCTGAGCTAGATTGTACGTTAGTATTTAGGATGCAGTGCGACACTCTTCAACCGGAAATGCTAACATGATTCTTCAACATCCATGCGAACCCGTTCCGTTGTGGTTGTGCCCTGCTCGTCTTTCATCGAAAAAGACTGACCTAGCACCAGTCGTGCTTCTTGTTCTCCGTGCATGCTGTTTACCCGAACGAGCCCCCGCGAAGACGCCCAGTCAAAGGCTGCATCGGCCATCTTCCTCAGTAGAGACATGGTGATCATATGGCCGGTGTATATAGGGCATTCCACGGAAGTCAAGCGTGCTAAGTTGCGGTCCGAGTCCAGTGTTCTGAGGTAACAAGGAAGTGTTTCGTCACCCATCGTCCTTCCGTCCGTTGCTCAAGTGAGCTTGTGTGGAACTTTTGCACTTGCATCTCTACCAACGGGAAGCTCATGCCGTTGGCGTCATAAAAGGCTCTGATCTTCAGCCCTTAGGACACATGTCTGTGTGTGTGTGATCGGGCAGGTGTACACTAGCAAGCAGGTACACACAAAGAAGCATATGAGCTCGCTTAGACACTTCCCTCAGGGGTCTTAAACATCTGCTGGATCTCGGCTGAAGCCTTCTTAGATTTGCAATATCTCCGGATCCTTGGGTAACAAAGCAAATACAAACGACCAAGCTTTGTAACGCACAGTAGTGAACCTGCGAATATATCATAGCCAGGAAACCGATAGTAAGCAGCGTCAGCAACAGAACCCATAGCCGCACCCGGAGCCTCACTGGCCTTGGCCTCCTTGGGCTCTGCATTTATCTCAGACGGCATAGCCGCATCTGAGGCTTTGGGAGATGGGAGGGCAGCAAGGTGGCTAGGTGCAGGTGACACGGGACCTGTGCGCGGAGGTACAGGGGTCATAGGTGGAGGTGAGGCCCAAGGCCACTCCCTGGGTTGGGCATCATGACCCTCTGAAAAGAGCCCTGCACTGGAGTCCACCTCGTATACCCTGGTCTCCTGATTGGCAAGGGAACGTCCCTGTGACTCAACTGACTCAACACTGGGCTTGCCATTTGCAACAAAGTGCCCCTGGCTGTGTGCAATGATGGGCGCACCTAAGCAAACACCACGATCGATGAATATAACGTATATACATGCAATCTCAAAACATGGAGGTCACTAAGCTCATTGATAAGTTAAGGCGCCATCAACCATGGAAGGCTCTCGAACTAGCTCTGTCGGTGCCTTGTCCTCTTTCAGCGCGGATGTTAACAATTCGATCTTTTGTTGCTGTGCCTGGGCCGTGCCGGGAAAGATCGTGAATATGCCAAAACATAGCTGCAGTATGTATATACGTGAATTATGGTTGACATTCATGAGTCTCAAGAAATCTGCCAAATGGCTTTAATCAATGCGTCGAGATCATCTGGTGCACTTTGGTGTCCAACCGCGTTGGTGCCCAAGAGACTTGTACCGTCCAATAGAGTCTCACACGACAGTTTGTCAGTGGACATGGCGCCAACGTACGAGCTATCCCTTAAGCTAAGTTTGATGTTGCAAATGCTCAGACCCTAAAAACACAATTGTTCATCGATCCAAACCTCGAAAAATCGGAAAAATCGGAAAATCGGAGAATTTCATGGAGCAAGTGATGAGAAAAAAGACAAAACTACTAGATTTTATAGTTTGCATCGTTTTGCGGACATTTGCGGGCGTTTGGCGGAAATTTGCGGTCGTTTTGCGCTTTAGTTTTCCCCACAAGATCTGCTCCGAAAGCTAAAACCACGGTGCCAATTCCGAATTTTCCGATTTTTCTCGGATCATTCTGGCATTTGCAAACGAGAATTAAGGGCCAGGACGGTTTGCTTGCTCAATAGACTTTTCCTGAGATCAGGCAACGGGTGAAAAGTGTTTAGACTTTTCCTGAGATCAGGCAATGGTTGAAAAGATTTGAAAAGTATCTAGGACCAAAATGAATCCAGGCACCCAATCAATTGCCAATTGCTGCATGGCGTGTCGATATTCAATTGGAATCCTTCAGGGATTTGTGCATCCATGTCTTAGCGTTAGGTCCACTATTTGTTTCTGTGCATGCACATCATATGCGAGCCTGGTGTGTTTGCATCTCATCATGAAGTCAAAGACTGGCTTGAGTTCGCCCTCTTCCCAAGTGTCCCCAAGTTCCATCTCCATGAACAGCTGTGCTTCACTCTTGTGGGGGTCACAGGCAACCTGGACTCTCAAATCCCCATGTGCAGGACTACGAAGCTGCTGGTCGTAGACCTGATGGATGCTCTTCCCAAGTCCGCGTGGATAGGCCCTTGGCGGGGGCTGGTGGGCAAATGTGGGAAACGATGGAAAGTCACAACCCAAAACAGACTCATGGTTCGAACAGCCAAGTTACTGACTGGCTTTCAATTCCTTCTTGTTTCCCACAAATCGAGATTTCCCAGTGGAATCTGTGTATTTGCCTAGGTCATGTCATGTCGAAAACGCAGGTCCACCCATGCAGCTAGGAAAGCATGAATTCATACTGCATGCATGCATCCTATGACATGAATTTATGATCAAGCTACGCGCGGTGGAAATCTTAGTTCTTTTGACACGTTCAGCCTTGGTCAACTTACCCTTGTCAAGCCCACCAAGTGAGCTCATATTGCCCATGAACATAGATCGTTTTGGCGAACGTCCACCGTGAAGGGCCATCCAAAAATAGACTTGGAATACCTGCTCGCATGAAAGGGATTTCACTGATATTGTTTGATGTTTTTTTGCATGCGCAAAATCACACTCTTTTAGGCTGAGCTATTTGAAGCCTAGGCGCCCAGGAAACTCGGTTTGCCAAATACTGCCAACGCTTGTGCATATACAAAAGGGATTGGGCCGGCTGTTCAACCAAGTAGAAGGCATTTCGACTGAGTATGAGCATAATACAAAGCACCATCCTTAAGGAAGCCGGCTGCATCATGTTAACAACCTTTTGTGCCATCGAATCCGAAAAAACCCTTTTCACGCATGGTGATTTAAAAAATGTACTATTGGTGAACTAGGTTCCGAGATACCATGACATTTGCTCGGTGCACAAAGCCATACGCTTCGTATCCCTGAGGGTTTATGAAGCTTCTCCCACTGGTTGACCTTGCCGGAAGCCCCCATGACCCACAGTCCGGAGCAAACAAGGTGAGCGCATGCTCCTCCTGGTTCATGATGGCCCACATGGTCAACCTGAGACCGGAGGCGAGGATGGGAAAAACGGGAACTTGTAAAATGTTGAGACCAGCAGAACATATGGGCTTGAGACCATTGCTCATGAAGAGATAAGGAGCATGAATCCGTTGACACTCAAGAAGTCCATATGCTTGTGACTGTAGCTGGAGTCAATGGACCCAACCCGGTACCCAAGCTTGTGCCTAGAACAGGGAAGCTGAAACAAAAAAAAAGTGTGTGTTGCAAGCAACTCTAACTAGGGGTCGAACATGTACTTTGAAACTTCACCTTTTCCTGCGAACACCTCTAGGAAGTTGTAGTTGGGAGACGGGGCATCGGAGGACAGCTTCTCGTTGAAGCTCAGAAGTAACACCTTTGCTTTCCCCATCAACAATTACATCGTCCTACACCCCCAAGTGACCTAGCTGCGATGATAATGCTTTGATACACGATTCATGCGATTCATGTGGTGTATCATTAATTCACATCGTGACTTGATTGCAAAAGCGAAGACTGAGATCGAGGTCCGTGCAATCGCCACAAAGACCTCACACAAGTCAACCCCCGCTATGGATCGAAGGATGCAAACCACTATCCGGACATACGTTGCAAGAAGTATCGTTAATGAGACCCAAACTTTTGGTGCTCGGACTTGTTGAAGACATCTCACAATTGGGCGATCAATCACCATGGCGTGCAATAGTGCCAATAAGATCGATATCGATATGGGCCAAAAAAAGCGCTAAGCGTGAAGACTCTTGAATTTCTGATCAAGTACCATCCGCAAATCGAGTATGCGTGTGTGTGTGTGTGTGTATATATAAGAAGATATAAGAAGTCATTCTTCAAAGCACCACAAGTGGGGGATGGCGGGGGTAGTCGCACCATTGATAGCAGCGCGAACCCTCCAAGCCATAGGCCGACCTGCCATGCCAAAGCATTTCATGAGTTCATGATTGCACGTATTGCATGTACATGGCATGTAGAGCATGCTGCGCCGGGGCTGCACAAGTCTGCTCTAAAGTGGTGCTTGAATGCATGAGTGCTCTCCACATGGTTCGCATCGGTTTCCTTCTTGCTGGGTTGCAAAGGCCACTGATCTTAAAGCCTTTGGCTATTCAGTAAGAACCCCAACCACGTGCTTTGGAGTCCACTTAAGGACGCTCTCACGCACAAGTGAGGCCAATGGTTGCCAATGAACTCACATCAAAAGCTTCGTTGAGCCGGTCAACCATTAGGCCAAAACCCCGTAGTAGCTTGAACAATTGCAAGCATATGAGATCGATCAATTTGGCTCTCACTTGGTCTCAGCGTATGCCTCAGATCCGTGGCAGGGAGCGCATGCATGAACCAAATCGCACAAAAGAAAGTGTGGGGAAAGGTCAATACCGGCGTGTTAAACAAACGCTTGTATCATGCATATTTAATAACTGGGGTACCTTTCTTCCCGCAGCTGCGCAATCCTCCGGTTCCTTCCCTGCATCTTGGGCTGCTTTGAACGCCCTCCGATATGCCTTGGATTTCCTAGCGTTCCGCTGCTTCTGTTCAGCCTTGGCATCGATTCTGCTTTCCTTCTCAGCACTTGCAGCGGGTGGGTTTGCAGCAGCTTTTCGCTTTTTGCTTGGCGCCCCTTCCTCAATTTCAGGGCTGGCAGGTTTTGTCGGTTCATCATCATTGCTGCTGCTCGCTGCCTTGCGCTTGTTCGTCTTTGTTTTTGCCTGTTGCTCCTGGGCATCAGGCTTGGGGTCTTCTGTCGATGTGGTAGGTTTCTCCTTTCGCGAAGCCTTTGCTTTTGCTTTTGCTTTTGCTTTTGCTTGCGCTTTTGCTTTTGCTTTTGCTTGCGCTTTTGCTTTTGCTTTTGCTTTTGCTGCTTTTGCTTTAGGTTTTGTTGTTTTGTCGTTGGCCTCTGCACTCTGACCCTTTGGTTTGCGACCCCTTCTTTTCGGCCCAGATGTGCGAGCAAGTTTGTTTTGCTCCTCTGGTGAAATGCATGGCTCGTTTTCCACACACATGGGCTTAGGCTTCATCGAAGGTTCTGGCAATGGCATCTCAGCCTCAGCAACTTCAGGCAAGGGTTCAGCACTGGGTTCAGCGCCGGTCTTGTCTGCAGGCGGCGTCTCACAAGGGACGTCATTGGGCTTGGTCGAAGCAGTGGGACTGGTAGGAACTGCAGGCGCCTCAGGCGCCGTAGGTTGAAGAGCTTTGCCGGCATTCATCGAAACCTACAGCGCGGTGCTTATCACATCGATCGTATAATTAATATCGGTAATCACCAAACGCGTGTTCCAGTGCAAGAGCTCCATGGTAGCTTTCTCAAGTCTTTGATTTATAGCCCTGTGAACCCAGCCTCGCCACCGGCAGGCTCCTGGCCATCTTCCAACTTTGGCAAGGCGTGGAAAACAGGGCTTTTGTCCTGGAGTGCGGGGGGAGAGGATGCGAAAGCTGCAGCGTACGCTTCTGCTTCTGCAGCCACCATGGGCTGTGTTTCGATGTTGTCCACACCTGGGTTGCCGGTAATATATATATCGATCTGGTCTCAAAAGAAGCAAATGCATGCATACAAATTTTAATCGCTGCTTCGGAACCATTTTCCCCAGATTTGGCTTGATGTTTGGCGGCAAGAAGCTGCTGCAACTTCAAACGTTCATTCTCCAATCCTTTCAACATCACTAGATGTGCCAGTTTCATTTCGGCATCTTTCAAGGCTTCCAAGGTTCTAGCACGCTTTTCCGGAGGCTCCAACGAAACAGGAGGCGAAGCCTTGGTCATGGCCTTGATTTCCGGTGCCGGTGGTGTTGGGATTGGGCTGGGGCACGGCGCCTGTTGAAGAGTGGCGGCACAATCACTCAATAGATCACAGCCTTGGCACATGAAGGCTTTTTTCAATGGTTCATGCTGTCCATCAGCAGCCCGGGGACATGGGGTAGCCATCAAGTTGCTCTCAACGATGTGAGACTGCTTACAATGCAAACAGCGGAAACCACACTTCACGGGTACATGAGGTGAAGGTTTGGGCCCAGTTTGTGGAGTCGATGTAGTGCCTCAGATGCGCACTGCAGTAACGCACGTATAAACCCCACATGACATGAAGGACTTCGATCACGTTTATTTGTGCGATTTTGTTCGCAATGCAACTTGAATGCCACGAGGTGAAGGTGTGGCCAGCACTTCAGAATCACTTCGCTGAGGAGGCAAAGGCTTGTCACCGACGGTGCCTGGGTAAGAGATTGAACAAATGCGCATATGACATATCACATCGTTGGTCCGTTTTGATTTCATGCATGCATAGTCCAATGAACTCATATTGGAATCGCAAACGAGTTTCATGCTGGACTCTCAACAGAACGAGGAGGGATGGCAGGTAGAGCTGGAATATCCTGGGGCAGTGGTTTGAGAATTTGCTTCATGCATCCTGTATCCTTCTCATGGACTAACGGACTACATCTTACAAACAGCTTTGCATTTTCTGTACATGATGATTGTGCAGTCTATCCTCCTCGATTTCCTCGTCTTCCGTTGGCGCCTCAGACTCCGCTGCCTCGAAGTCCTCCTCGTCCACGGCATCAGTTTTGATGGCTCCTTGGCTGTGGCTGTGATGACCGGGTGAGGTGTTTAGACTGGGGTTATGAAGGCTCAAGTTCCATGAATGATAGTTCCTCAAAACAGCTACAAGAGATTACAAGAATCAATATGCAGCTAGAACTCCTGGTTCCAAGGAATCGCTAGATGGAAGGCGTATCCCGATCACCTCAAACAGCTCCTTGAACTCTGAGGTGCGGGGAACATGTGGGCGACGGGCAGCACTAGCAAGGACGGAAATCATATTTCTAAGCACCCAGGATTCCGTTTTGATCTCCTCACCTTAGTTAGCAATTCACTAGGATTTGTTGGTTTGGTCAACATGTACTGCGTGGGCACCTTTTGCCAATCATTTGCTTCATGTTCGTCAAGCGACTATTGGGAAGTGGCTTACCTCTGGGCCTGCAGTGAAAAAGGAACCTCGCCACCAAATCCTCAAGGACTTTCACGCTTGGGCGCATGCCTTGGCCAAAAAATCATCTAAAATCATCTAAAATCAGTGAAGACACTAGACACTATAGTAAAGACCAATCATGACCAATCATGCAAGTGTTCCTTGAACTATTTCTGTTTTGCTGACTAGATACCAAGGTTGGCCACCAATGGTTTCAGTAGCTCATAGTTGTCACAAACAGTGGTTCTATCGATAGAATTACCACGAAGCAAAGAGATGACCCCCTTCGACGCGGCCCTTGAAACCACTGATTCCAGCTTAAGCCATTCCAGCAGCACAGGGCATTCTACTTGCCCACCACCAATCACCACCATGGCTGCACGCTAAACAAAATTTGAGCCCACCCTGAAGAGATATATATATGAAGAGAAAGGACCCAAAAGTGGACCCAAGCATACATATCAAAACCGCAGTCAAAACCGCTTGCGAATGTGTGATTTGCCCTTCTGACGAACATTGGCAAGCCCAGCGATCGATGCGCCCAGGCCTCACGACGACCCATGAAGAGATCCTCTGCGCATACCTGGAAAACAACAGCTTGCTGCGCGTGCACAAAGAACCGTGCAAATTCATCCAATATCATCCAATCACAGGGCGCACGTTAACCCCCGTATGCTTCTCCAAGAGCTCCGTGAGTTTGTCCACGAAGCATCCAAGAGCTGTTCAAGAGCTCTTGACCCCAAAGACTGCTGGAAGCGTGCGTCAAAATCCAGTCGTTTTCAAAAAACAGTCGAGGCTTCAAAATCTGGTCGTTTTATCAATAAACCATACGAATGTTCCATTTATAGTACGAATGGCCAAGGTTCAAATATTTCAAGTACGAAGGGTCCTCTAGGTATCCTATATATGACGATACTTCGTTGTCCGTCTTGGGAGCCGTTGGGTGTTGAAAAAGGGTCCTCCGTGCCATGTCATATAATAGCTTCTTGTTACTACTAGTAAGGCACTTGTTACTAGAAGCGATGCACTTGTTCCTAGTAGCTTAAAAAAGACCTCTTTAATACCAATAGTGGTTCCGTGTCACCTACCCGGGCCCCATGGACCGGGCTGGTTCATCACCTTTGTGTGGGGGCTATTCTAAGAATAGCCCCATGGCTGCCATGGCTCGGCGGACCTGGTGCATGTTTCGGCCGAATGTTTCGGCCCGTGTCTCCCTCAGGTGTTGGAGTCCCAGCGGCTTGAGCGCGGGCGACAGCCTCACGGCGCGGGGTGTGTTCGGCAGGGATGAGTGGCTGGTTGGCTTTGTATTTTCTTGTGTCTTCTCAAATCCTGAATGGTTGTTGATTTGCTGATTGTTTGAACATGTTTGAACTAATGCTGCTGGCTAAAGATGACTAAATAAATAGTCTTTAAGGGGAACTGTTTTAAGAGTCTTAAGTGCGAGTATTCTCGTTGACGATGCATATTAATTCCTTTGCCACTTGAAGGGTATCGTTCTTTAACGCCCATGAGCCTACAGTGAAATTGCTATTTGGGACTCTCATACGTGCATGCAATGTTGTGGCTTACTCACACACAGTTGTTGGGAGTGCTGGTTTTGAAATCATGAAGGCGATGCCTACCTGGCTACGTTCATACCCCTCCACCCCTGTGGAGTTTCATGCACATTCTGTTGGTGGATTTTGAAAACGCCTCCGCATCGCAGAGGACATACGGACCTTTTTTGCAGATGTACCAATGTACAATGAATAATATATGTGTTTATCTCCAAACAGGTCGCTCAAGTGCAGATAATGCTGCAATACACTCATTGCAGCTTCGGCTTCATAGGAAGATAGTTCTGGAACAGAAAGGACCGCTCTTCTGGAAATGTTTTGATTCACTAGACTCTAGACCTTTCTCATCGGCCTAGCTCGGTGGTCTCCAAACAATTCTTTCGACCTTGGAAGCCTCTCGACCTTACATGTCGCCATTGGGTTAGGATGCTTGATGCATGTCATCCAGATAGTAGATTGTTCTTGACCTCATCCATTCAGGCAGTTGGATCTCGCCAATGAGCTGCTAGTAACTAGTACTGCTCACTAGCAGACACTCTCCTCGGGTGTGATGAACTAATTGACCAACTTTACAACCCGTTTCGTCTCTCTCCTGATCGTCCACATGCCACACGGCAAAGCAACCGCCAGATTTCCTTGCAGCTTCAGCCGGAGAAGAAGGCCGGCCTTGCAGCTTCAGCCTCTCCCATTGGTCAGTGACTGGGGAACCATTGGATCGAGGGCATGATTCTATATAGAGATAAATACTCTGTAGAAGAATCATGGAAGTGGATGGCATGGCCCCCAATTTCGGAATACCAACAGGTGCCACTTGAATGATTTGAATTATTATTTCAGGGAGTGTAATGATTCCGGAAGGGACTCTCATGCTTCTAGAAGTGATTCTGTGCAGAATGATTCTCTGGTGCTGTAGCCACACCAAGTTTTAGGATGGGGAAATTTAACAACATGCATCTAGTGACTAGTGTACGGTTGACTCCCTTGCTCAGGATTCTCAGGTAATATGAAGCTCAGACTACTATTGCCATCAAAAACTGAGCTTGAACTTTAAAGCAGAGATCAGGACTTTCATCGTTGATTGAAAGAATCGTGAGTGAATTGGTTGAGGCTTCTTTGGGAGAACGATGGTAGCAGTTGGGACTCGGCGGGTTGATTTATGTGCTTGTGTTGACTCCTAGAAACTCGATCAATCCTTATGTGTTTCTTCATAATGAAGTTCCTTGTCCCTTTCTTAAGTCGAAGGGTTTGATTTTGGGTCCCCAGTCTTAAATGACTTCCCAGCAAAGCCTTGCGCACATCACTTGGTTTCATCCTTGCAAATCGGCAGAGGATCAAAACTGGGGGACCCTGGTTGACCAATGAAAATGAACAGGTTCCTATATTGGTGTGATGTCAACCTTCCATGGTTGGCTGGGGTAGGTTTTGACTCACAACCAATCAACAGGAGTGATTGATCTCATTGGGTTCCAGAGCCCCCTTGGATTCCAGCGCCACCTGTTCAGGTCTCCTGGAGAAAAGCTGAGTAGTTGGATACACACGTCGCGGACGTCGCGGTTTGCTGGTCATGTGCCGAGGCTGTCAAACCCCAGCTGTTTTGGATGAAAGCGTTCTTTTTGGCGATCAACCATGAAGGTTTCCTATAGGGGCAAGGTTGGTGGATTGCAGAATCGGAGTTTCACTTGATTTGCTCTCTCCATTCTTAGGATTGTTTTGGTAGCCGGGGGACGTCAAGAAAAACAGCACCAACCAATGAAACTGTTAGAAGCAGACCATTCAAATTGCAGACAATAGGCTTTGTGAAGAATCCAGCATGCCGCATCAAGGAAGGCTTGAAGGAACCATATCTCAGTCGGGGAGGTCAGAACATCAATTGGCTAAAGACTAAAGGTCAATGTTTTTTTTTTCCAAAGTGCCCCTATATAATTATAGTTGCCCTAGCTTGTTGAAGACCAACATAGTCCAACCCAATGCTTACTCAACACCTTCAATCGATGCCATTTGGCCAGAAAACCACCGACCGCAGACCTTTTGCCTGTTGGCGAGGCCCACTCGTGGCCCCCTAAAAAAACCTCTTCCCAGACCAGCCCGGTGGTCACCTCAGCCGAGCTTGGCCTCTCCTCCCCGGCGAAGATTTGAGCACTTCAGGTCGCAAATGCATTGACTCAATATCATGTGTATGTCCCAATTAGGTCATTTTAAGAGGTAAATGTTGTATGATGTTGTAATGGTTTGAGTATCTCTGACAACCAGCAGCATGACGCGATCTTGCTGAACTTTGGTATAATTGATTTGACTATCAATTAAACAACCAGACACATGGCAGGATCTTTGCTGAACTTAGTCAATGAATTCTTGCAGGAGTCACAGATAGACCTCCTTCTGAAAGAGCTATTCTGCATGTGGCCCACCACATGTGCATATCACCAACAGAAACGAGAGGTCTCCAACAGGCCGCCAAGACAGCTTGGAACCTGGCAACACCTTCCACCTGCCCCAACCCCACTCAACACTCGCTCTTCCAAGAGCAGGGCCAAGCACGCGCCACTCACACGAAAGCGCCAGCTTTCGAGCAGAGCAGAGCAGCGCAGCTGGCTTGGCAGAACTTGCTCCGAACAAAACACTCAGCGGCGCTTAATGGGACGGGTCTACATGGCCAGGACGTCATGACACCTCGAGTTGATCGCGTGGGGATCCATCTTGGGGCCAGAAAGGTGAGGAGTACGGTGAGATTGCGGAATTCTTTGGACATAAGTATTTATGAATGATTCAGTTCTGAAAAAGGCAAAAAGGAATAGCCTTCCATACTTGCGTCTACAACCACTATAAGCCAGAATCCAACTTGGGAAGAGAAGAAGCTATATGTTGAAGATGTTTGAATAATTGTTCAACAACGAAGCAGTGTCTTTCTTTTGGGAATTCCTAGAAGCTTCAGAGGCTGAGAGCTCCAGGTGGTTTCAGCCCTACTTCTGGGCAGTAAGGTTTCAGGCATAGCAACAACCAATGCAGGGTGAATCCAGCGCAGGCCATGGACTGGAAGATGGACCTACATGTGGAGGTGGGTTTGAGATGCGGTAGGTCAATATTCCATATGCATGGAAGGTTGGGGCAGTATATGATCTATGACAATCCAAAGAAACTTCGGCAACATCCACCCACCTTCAAGGTGTTTTCCAGACTCATTGTTTTCTATATGCAACAGCTAACACGCTCCTGAGACCATGAAACAATAGACAGTTCTATATAGTTATGTTATGTAAAAAAAGACTGGATTGACCTTGAAATCCATGGCGTCATCGCCTTCTTTTCCCCATGACCACCGGGACCCAGTCACGCTTAGAACTCGTTTCGTTCTCCGCGCCTTTTCGGCACCTCAAGCGGAGTGGGACACGGGGCCCCAACTGAACGGGGCAGACAGTCGAAAGGGAGCAGCTCAGGAGGTGGGGCGGTGGGAGGTCTGGCGGACGTGGGCTGGATGTGGATGTGGGAAGAGGACGATTGCCCGGGAAACTTGGGGTAGCCTCCGGTCGCATGTTGAAAAACCCACAAAGGCGTCACAAAGAGGTCTCCCTGACTAAGTACCTCCCCTATACCTCCCTCGCCAGCCAAAAAGGGTCACCCCACAGACGTCTCCATGAAAATACCTGGAGGATTTGATTCGCCACTAAGGCCAGGCTCCTTAAAAAAGGATCATTTGGTAGTTGAACCCGAATCGCACCGGACGTAGCTATGTAATAAGTAAAACATCCTTAGCAGCAGAAGATCGGGCAAGGACAGATAAGCAGAGGTGAGGGGGCCATCGGAAAAATACGTGACTCAGTGACTCCCCCAACAACGGAACCCGGAGGCACATGGAGTTGGGTGGTGTGAAACGTCCCATCCAGGGCTCGTGGATGTGGCAGGGGCACCCCCAACCTGCTGGAAGAGAAACGTCCTTTGGGCTTGGACATCACTGGACCTGGCCCTGAAGCTGGCGTAGCTGTGACATGCCTGGCTGTGCAATACCGTTGGACCCCTGTGTTGGAAGAATCAACAGACCGGTCAGTTTGTTATACCGATGAAACGCTTGATCTATGTCTAAGTAATTTCGACAGACCCGTCATAAAGTGAACAGATGAAATGACGGGTCTGTTATACTGATGAAATGCTTGATCTGTTTACTTATAATGTTTGGTCTTAGTCTTATATTGCTTGGTCTTATAATGTTTGATCTATGTTTTATAGTTACTTTTATTTATTCTTCAGTCGGGTGATCAAGCTTCAGCCCCCTCACGAAGCTCAGTCTCTTGTGCCCCGCAACCAGGTCGCCAAAGATGGGTGACGGTACGTCGGCCTCCCAGTGCTCTCGACGACCGGAACACGGTCGCGGCGTGGCGACCGG